CTGGACTACAAAAACCTGGTTCACATCATTACTCATGGAGAGGAGAAGGACCAGGAGTGAACCTTCATTTAAATGCATTCGAGAAGTAGAAAGTCAGTTTGTGTACCCAGCTACGACTTGAAACTGACTCACTGCACATAAAGGAAATGTGGACTATTTACTCAGCTTTTATGACACCATTGCTTCTGTATTGTCCTCACTCGAGAGCAGGGGGAGGATCCTGACAAATAGTCTTTTTCCAGCCTGTAAAAATGGGAAGTTTACAGCATCAAACATCATCAAGTGTCGTGCTCTTTTTCTGCTTTATCCACAGCATATCCCCCACATTCACCTGAGACTGATTAAATTATTTTTCCTTATCATTTTCTATACTAATAACCACATGCCTGTTTTTACCATAGCCACTTGTTAGGTCTTTGCTTGACAGTCTAATAAAGATTTTTAAAGCTACGAGAGCTATGATTCTGCTGTTTTTGCTCAGATTATTGAATGCCAGTGTGGGGAAGATGGTACAGACTCGATAAAGCCTGATTTCCAGTGAATTGTCATTACCTATTCAAGGATCATACAATTACTGCCTGAACAGATGACTATACCAGATACTCCTTAAAATCCATGTTAGGTAGTGCATCTGAGTACTTAAGAATAGCGAGCATGTGCAGCTGGTGAGCCTGTAGAATCCAAAACATGCCTGCATCAGTGTCTGTGTGTGCGCAAAAAGTTGGGTGTGTGTTGGATGTGCATGGAAATGTTTGGCTACTGAAACAAAGGGCTTTACTAAGACAAAGCCCTGTTGTTATTTTAGTGTTGTGGTGATGTAAAGAGGGTAATGCTATACTGAGGAGTTGGGGGGGAGGTTGCTCACAAAAGGATGCCATCGAGTGATCCGCACCACCGTCGCCTTACCCGACTTGAGACCTTGGCAGGGTTAAGCAGGGGGTGTAAATCCTTGATTGTTCCAGTTGAAGTGTTAAGGGCAGGGAGGAGCCAGTTCTGACAGCATCAGGCAGGAGTACCGTGGATACTTCATACTGTGGATGAGACGAGACACGTGGGGAGTGGGGAGGGATGAGTGTTTGGATCGGCTTGGCTATTTCAGCTCCAGTTTTAACTGTCTGCAAGTGCAGCATGTGGTCAGTGAAGGGAAAACGTGCATTTCTCTTTCAATTTTTAGTTTTGTCTGGTAGAAATTACTACTGACAAAATCACTGTCACCTAAATTTGCAGATCCTACCTAGCTCTAAGACTGAGTGTTTGCTGCTCAGGTCCAGGGACAAATGAGAAACAAAGGTTACCAGGCTGCTGCTGAACATACTGAAGAGGCTGGAGTTTGAACAGCCAAGTGTATCCCTCATGACAGCATGGAGAGCAAGACAGAGCCAGAGAGACTGACAGTAGTTTTAGGACTGCCCAGAAAAATCACCCCATGTTACTGTGTTTAACATGTAAACTGGTGGGCAAAAGTCTTGAGCCACGCCTCATTTCTGTACATTTTCATAGAAAATAGGTGTAATGTTTTCTTACAATGTGTGCAAACAAATGGAAATACTCTATGAAAGTACTTTTTAAAAAAAGAGTTTGTACAATTTTACTGAGTTTGAAAGTGAATATTTAATGTGTTCAACTTTATTCTTCAACACGGCCTGAGTTCTCTTAGACAGGCTTTCTCGTCATTTCTTTAAGTAGTCTTCGGGAATAGTTCTCCGGGCTTCTAGAACGACATCCAAAGCTCTTCTTTGGAAGTTGGATGCCTTTTGTTCTCTTCACTGACAAGATGATGCCACACTGCTTCAAAAATGATGAGGTCTGGGCTCTGGGGGCCATGACTGATACTGTTTCATTGTGTGTGTTTTTTGTTTTTTGTTTTTTTCTTGGCCAGATATGCTTTTGCTGTATAGGCGGTGTGTTTGTGATCATTGTCATTGGAGTCAGAATACTTTTTTTAATCCACTGAGACAATGTTGTTAGAGATGTTCACTGAAAATATAAAGATGAAAGATAGAAAGCATAAAAAATATTTGGTCTTTGATCAATGGGTTTTGATCAGTAGCTGCTGATCAGTGGTCATGACAATTTGCATATTAATGATCAAGGAACTGACCTCAGTTCATTCAGTGGGCTGGTTTCAGGTATAAGGTTGGGGAAACCTGCAGTCAGCTGAGACTGAAGAAGTCACTTGAATGAGTGACGAAATATTCCTCCCATTGAAAATGTTACATCCAGATGAGCAGAATCAACCTTTTAGGGTTTACTTACCTGGATGATTGAGCATGCATCAAGACATAAAAAAGAAGTAAAACTACAGCACTTGGAGTGAAATCTGAAATTTAAAGGAAATATTCCAAAATGAAAACACTAGTATGTACCCTACAGACAAGATATAAATTTGAAAATAGTCCAGGTGTCATAACAAGGAGTTGTAAACTTTCATGGCCAAAGGTAGCGATGATTTCCCGTATCTCTTTTACTGAATGCGCTGCTGTAGCGATCCATCACAGGATGGAGAGGGTGTGAAGAGTTGTCCAATACTGACTTTAACGTGGGCAGCATCCTCTTTTCTGAAACCTTTGTCAGTTAATCGGGTTCCGCGCACACAGTGTCATTGGCCTTGCAGATCAGTTTGTTCAGTCTATTGATTGCTGCCTCCACACACTGCAGCATAGTGGATGGCACTGACTGGCCACCACAGACCCATAAAATATCCTGAGCATCGTCTGGCAGATGCAAAAGGACCTCAAGGCTTCAGTACTTTTTGTAGAGAGCTTTTAATGAACTTTTTGTCAGTGTGAACATTGAGGTGTTTTTAATACATATGGATGGAAGCAGGGGCCACTGTGTTCCTCTCCTCCTCATGCCCACAACCAGTTTCTTAGTCTTTGCCATGTTAGGCTGCAGATGGTTTTGCTCATAGCTTGCAACAAAGCTGTCCACTACACCTTCTTATTATTATTAGTAGTAGTAGTTGTAGTATATTTTTAAAGACACACTGCACACTATGCTGAGATATGCAAAGTTTTCAGCTAATAGCTCTTTAAGAATCAAATTTTTGGCCAAAAATACTATTTCATGCCTGTTAAACTGTTTTTTTTGGCATTTTTGGCCAAATTTGTAACAAATGATAACAAATCATTCAATGGCATTTGTTTCATTGCTAATTGTCTGTTATGTGTAGATACAACACTAGTTCATTCTTTGAGTTAGCTGTAGCTTTAAGCTTGAATGATTCACAGGTCACTTTTAAGTCGCTAACAAAATAACAATAATGTATACTAACAGTTCCTCTGAAAATGGTCAGGTACAAGGACTGGACTGGAAATAAGTGAAAAAGCAGCTAAAGTACAGAGAAAAACTTTGAAAGACCTTGGAAAGCCCAGAGTACTATTGATCAAGATCAACGGACCCAATAAACTGATCTGTAAGGCCAGTTACGTTGTGGGGATGGAGCTGTGCTCGCCCTAAGGTGGTATGAGAGAGGTGGATGTTCATCAAGATAAGGTCAATGCTGGACCAAACCTCCCACCCACTCCATAACATGCTGGCCAGTCACAGGACCACATTCAGTGAGAGACTGAGATTATCCACATGCATCACTGAACGACACACAAAATCATTCCTGCCTGTGGTTATTCACTGTAAAACTCCCTCTCAAAGCACAAGTACACACTGCAACAGTTGCACACCCCTAGTTCATGCAATGGGCGTCCCGATTGCTTTCCCCACTATGAAAACATTGTCATTCTGAATGACACACAGTATGATGCTAAAATATACATAATCAGGTTTTACAGGCCCGTTAACTCTGAACTCTCAGGTAACAAAAGCAAACCTTTGTCTTACATGAAGTAAGATTAAAAGAAGAAAAATAACAGCACGTTCACGTGACATAAAATCCATGAAAACCAGCCATCATCTCACTGCTGAACACACACAGTGTAATTCTGTAACTCCCTGCAGGAATATTAAAGGAAAGTTACACCAATCATTTATCAGGGGAAGCGTTTTAGTGTGTGCTGAGGGTGCAATTAACACTCTCTCACAGAGGTTTATATTGAGATTTAACACTGTGCCTAAATGGCATTTAGTCTATTTCCACCTCTGAGAAATAATGGATGGATTTTCTGTGAGAACTGTCGATTTGTGCTGAGTGCGTCTGCTCAAAGAAAGCTGACTTAAGCTGTGCAGATAATGACTGTGGTCTGAGTTATCTCCTCGTTTTCTAGTGTAAGGGTAAAATCTTTGTTAACGCACAAGAAAAAGTCTTCTCTCACGTGTTTTTCTTTTAAGATGGACTTTTCTTCAAAGTAACGGAACACAAACGTCACATGTGACAAGTTATCAGTTCGTTATTTATAAGAAATGTTTTCTTAAGCCCTCTAGCACTTTATCCTGAAATCAGGAACTCGTGTTTTCTGAAACTGGCTTTAAAAATAACCGTCAAGAGCTCAGTAGCAGTGCATGTAAATAGCAACATAGTATCCCTAATAACTACTAAAAACCTTCTGTCAGTCGTCTCCTTCTACATGCAAGCTTCTCTTTAGTCACCAGCCATAAATTACCATTTAAAATACTCCATATTTTCCCATCTTTTCTCACAATTAGTCTCTTTCTCTGCTGAGAAGCTGCTTTGAGTCATTTTTTGTATGCATCAATGAGGCATGGGGGTGTATGGTGGGGCTTAGGCCAGAGACCAGTTAATGAAGGTCTGATAATGTGAAGCTACTGCCGCCATGTGGCCATTTAAAAATGATGTTGCCTTTTAGCACATTACTCTTTACACGACATTACAGCTACATTTCTTCTTTTATAATTTTACTGTTTTTTAGTTATAAAAATAAATAAATAGAGTCAAAACTTATTTCACTGTCCGTATGTAATCCCAGAAGACACAGGCATTTTGACTAACTACTTACAGTAGTGCATATAACATGCAAGCAGACATAATAAAATCATCAATAATAAAATCTACAGTCCTCGTCATTCCAAACTCTTAAAGGAGGAACACTGGCTTGTGGTTGTCGTTTTCCTTCCTCACCTTCACATCTCCTACTTCCTTTGGAGATGAACAACTCTGACAAAACCTCTCCACAAGAAAGAGTACCTGCTGCACACCCAGAGTCCTCAAAACCTGAGCCCACCTTATTATGTTCTACAGGTGGTCTTAAAAAACACGTTTATTGCCTCACCTCATTTAAGTCATTCAGCCATTTAATTATTTTATTTATTTTGACATGTCTGACTCTCTCCCTGTTTTATTTTCCCCAGAGACCTCGGTCAGCTTCCTCTTTCTCTCTCCTTGCATTGTGAGGCTGAGGAGGATCTCTAGCTTGCCCGGTTAGTAATTTTAATTTTATAATTTTTCCCTGTTTTATTGTGAGCTTGCTCTGCTAACTGTAAACACTGCTATCAGCAAGAATGTACGACATTAAAGATTGAATTAACTAAATTTAGCTGACATAAAAAAATACATTAATAACAAAAGAAATGTAAAAAGCTACATTTAAATCTTCTATGAATGTATAAAATCTAATACCTTTATACTACATAAAGTATTGAAACTCTGGAACAATATGACTTATTAGGGTCCCATATAGTTTTACTGTAGCGTCCCTTCAACACCACTCTCCGCCGCTAGATGTCGCTGGTCCCTGCGTGTTGTGGCTTGTAGGCTGGGGGGGTGGGCTGGCTGGATGTGGACTGCTGGGGGCAGCTGGGTATGTGTGTGTCTGTGAGTGTGTTTAAGACGCGTCGACTGGAGCAGGAGCAGCAGCAGCAGGAGGGGGACTTGAAAACTTCCCTGCGTCCAGTAAGAGCGGGGATTTGGCGATTTAGAGGCTTCCAGTCCAGCTGCGATCGTCGGAGAGGAGGACCGATCCGGTTCTCGGCACTGGAACCATTTCCGGCCAACATGGATGATTTAGGTGAGTTCGTTCGCCGCGGAGGCAACATTAAAGCAGAGTGTGTGCTTTTAGCGTAAACACACAATGCTAGCGCTGGAGGGCTGACCAGCCCGACGACGAAGAGGAGGGGGGCTTTTTCCGCAGGTGGTCAGTAGATGTAGTTGGCTTGTTTAAGTCGCAAGTGTTCCCCGTTGCCAGGTGGGCTGAGTTATCCAGGTTCTGCTGCGAGCAAGTGCGGGGTTAAATGTACAAAAGGGCCTCGCGTGCTGCTGGCACGGGGAGGCATCTCGTTACTACGATAATGAATGTAACAGTCGTCTTATTAGCTGGTAACGTGAAGATAGTCCGCTGGACGGTACGTTTGCACTGTCCTCCTCAACAATGGGTGACGGAGTCGTGCAGGACTGCCGGAACTTTTTCTTGCGCACACCTGGGATGAATGCGTGAATCAAACCGCGGCCCCTTTGGCTTTTTTTTTTTTTTTTTTACACTGGTACACTGACCTATGCAGCCCCTCCTGCTGGGTGTCAGGATTATATAAGTGCCGCAGCAGGTGGGAGAGAAACAGTCCCATTAGTGCAGACTCTGGTGACACGCGATCATTGACAGAGTAACACAGTTTGTTTGATCAGTTGGATTCAGCTGATTGTTGCCAAGCACGCGCAGACGAATCCAAGAGACCCGTGTTGCTTCTGCCGGTGGGGGTGGGGGTCTAGGTTCTCTTGCTTTAGTAGTTTAACATTCTCACTATGAGCCAGTCAATCCTCAACTTACTTTAGATTGACAAGCTTACAACCGTGCATTTACAAAACTGGAAGAAGCAGCAAGAGGCTGGGAAAGTAAGAGGTACATAAAGGAACAGTTTAGGAACATTTTAAGTGGCAGCAGGTCAGATGATTGCTTATAGAAAAACATTTTAGAGAGGTAGAGTTTCTCTGATGGGCCGGGGTTTACAAATCTGGAGGGAATCTGTAGAAATCTCTGTGTGCAAGGGGACAAGGCCAAAAATTGGGAATTCTTCCAGAAATCATTGTCTGTGAACACGGTTTGTCATGCTATCTGCAAATGCAGGTTAAAGATCTATCGTGCAAAGAAGGAGCCAAACGTGAACATGATCCAGAAACGCTGCAGTTTAAAATGGGCTGAGGCAAAGTAGAAAGCTGTTCTGTGGTCACACGATTTGAAGTTTTAAATTGTTTTAGGAAAATATAAGGGAGACCATCCAGCTTCTTACCAACGCTCAGTTCAAAAGCCTGCATCTGTGCGCGTGGAATTGACACTTTGCACATCTGGAAAAGCACCATCCATGCTGAAAGGGATATACAGATTTTAAAGCAACACATGCTCCCATCAAGGTGACGTCTTTTTTAGGGAAGGCTTTATGTATTTTAGCAAGACAATGGTGAACAGCATACTGGATCAATTACAACCACATGGCCTGCCTGCAGTCCCGACCTTTCACCAGCTGAAAACATTTGGATACAGGACTGTTGAGCAGCTTATATCAGACAAGAATGGGACAACAATCCTCTCGCAAACGTTCAGCAGCTGCTCTCCTCTGTTCCCAGATGTTTACAGATCGTTGTTAAAAAAAGATGGGATGCTAAACGGTGGTAAACATGATCCTGTCCCAGATTTTTTTTTAAATGTGTTGCTGCCATCAATTTCAGAATGACCTTTATTTATTCATTTTTTTTAATGTAAGATTTTCTCAATTTAAACTATATGTTTTCTATGTTCTACAGTGATTAAATTAGAGGCATATGAGATTTTCAAGTCATTGCATTCTGTTTTTATTTACATTTTACACAGCATCCCAACTTTTTTGGGAACTGCGATTTATCTCCAGGGAGATAAAAGCATCCAGTGTAATTAAAAACTAAATAGAAGTAACGAGGCTTGCACATGGCTATCGGGATCAGCAGTTTCTTGTTAGTTTTTCCCCGGTGACTGCATGGTTAAGTTTAGCAGGACATCCACGAAATGCATAGGAGTCAGGTTCATTGGTTGCTATAAAAAACACAACCAGTGTGTTTTTGTGAAGTCAAAGATGATGAATGCCTTGCAAAAGCCATCCAAAGGGGATTAGCACCCTCCGAGAGCTGCAGGTGGACTTGCTGGGAAGAATGTTACAGGCACGGCTTCATCTTTCAGGTTCTGCATGTATAAAATATCAAAAAAGGAATGAAACAATGGTGTTCCTTTTTTTTCTGTTTTCACCTGGTTGTAACCCTTTCGGGCCAAAACCCAGATCTCTGCTTTATGCGTTGGTAGTGGGAGTGTACCAAGAAGTCACTCTATATCCAGTCAGCGTTTATGGATACATTCTCAGCTTACACGGGCGAAGGGCTTTCCTTAAAGTAGCTATGTAAAAAAATCCAGCCAAGGGTAATTACCATGTCACAGGGCTGTAAATTCTGTCATCATTTTAGCACAGATATGTAAAAACTGTTGCACACATACGTAGCGAAACGTTGACACCAGATCCTCCCCGTGCGATTGATAGATCTCTGTTATCACGCTGGAGCTATGGAGCTACAGCAGGAAACTTTACCTCCACCTGCTTATGAAAATTGGATGCGCTGAAGGTTTAAAATGGCTTTAGAAGCAGTAGGGGATATAAAGAAGCACCACCGGTGGAGTTTGAGTGAGCCAGTCTGTCTAGTACACAACTCAAAGAGGACAACGAAGTCTAGGTGTATTTTTAGCCCGAGGAGAGTCCGTCTTCAAGAGCTGAGCCAGCAGGAGCACCAGGAAACCTTTCACCATCCTGCTCTCATCTCTCTCTGCCCTGTTTTTCTCACTTTCATTCATTTTTTTCCTGTCAATTAACTGGCTTGTCTTTACTCCTAAGTCATTTTTTCCTGTGATCCACACATGTTCACACCCAGGGCTTTTGTTATATCACTGTGTTCCTTCCGCAGCGTCCGCGAGAGCAGAGCACTGCTGATCTCAGGCTGGATGTCAGGGTGAATCAGGCCCACATGCAGGGTTTGGGCCTCAGCCAAAATTTATCCTCTTTAAAAACGCTGCACTGCCCCACCCTCTCTCTTCCTACTCCCCACCATTCCTGTGGTGAGCCACATGGGAAACTGCAGGCTCCAATCTATTGACAGTTTTAAGCTGGCTGAGTTTGCAAGAGAGGAGGTTATTTGGCTCAAAGCAGATCGCAAAGCTTGATCGCTTGCAATTATCAGCTTTTTTTTGTTCCTCCCCCTCCTTTGTTTTTCTTATGCAAGACGTGTAATTGTGTATTTGCATCTCCTTTTGTTTGTGCAGTCCTTGTGGTCTAGGTGCTGTGGCATGTTCTGAGGCAAACTTTCATTGACCTCCCCTCCTCAGCTATCAGTGCTGTAGAGCGTTGCTCCGTGCTTCACTGCCCTGGGCCTGCAACAACACGACATGAATGTCAAACAGCCTAAAAAGTTAACTTCCCTTTTACTGACTAATGCGCAGCACCTTTCAGTATTTCCTTTTTATGTCTGCAAATACAGTAACCGCTGCGTTTGTCTCTCACTCAGATTAATACGTTTCGCTCAAGTGGAACGATTCCTCAGAGCACTGGCGGCGCAGCAGCTGCAGTGTTGGAAATGTCACTCACCTAGTGGGCGTGGGCAAAGCAGTTCTTTTACAAAGTCCAAATGAGATGTGATGTAGCCTAGATACCCAGCAGAGTCTAAATTTAGGTTGGCTTATTGTTTGTAGACCAAAGGAAACATCAGACGCCGCTCACGTGAACATCTGTCATTTTTTTCCCCGCATGTTCTGTGTTACACTGCGACACAGATGTCATGTGTGCCTGAGCGATACTTTTTTATTCTGTCAGCGACGCAAAACGAGCTAGAAACTTTCCCCTTCTCTTTTTTGCACTCACTCGTTTCCAGCAATTGTTCTATTTCTAATTCCAGATTTAGCTAGAAGGCCGTTAATGTTGTCTGCCATCAACAAAGCAGTTGAAGGAAATATCACGAAATCTGCCCGGTAGTTTTTTGCATAATCTTGTGCAGTCTGACCTAAGAAATTATTTTGCAATTATACGTCAATAGATGGTGTAAGGGGAAGCAAACGAGATGAATTTGCAAATAGATGGAAGTACATACCTGAATTTCATGCTAACGTAATGACCTGACTTTCCTTTGATGTGTTATTAAGATTCTTTGAACGAATAGTGTGACAGTTACAGCTACATATGTCAACGGGGGATCTTTCTGAGGTGTCGGGAGGCAAATTTTGTGATCTTTGGACTAGCCATGATTTTGGAAAGGACAGCCACCAAGAGAGGAGATGTTTCACTGTGTGACAGACTTCAGGCCAGGGTGAGCCTGATGCTGTCGAAAGCAAGGCAGGAAGTCTACGTTGTGACCGCCAAATTACACTTCCCAAGTGTACCATATTCAGATACAGAATATGTAGATTTACAATTACTTGTAAAAAAAAAACAAAAAACAAAACATGGAAACATATTCAATTATTTTATGTAACTAAGTATTCAGTTATTAGGCTTAAAGCAGCGATGTCACACTGATTTTTTTTTGTTGTAGCCGATGTACAGCGCACTTGGAGAGAAGTTTAATCACACATTAATTCCCTGAGATATTTTTTATATTAATATATAAAAAAAAGTTTAGTTATACATCTCACTGTTTCTACATGATGAAGAAATAATACATTTTTATAGTGGATGGTGGCAAAACGGGACCTTTTTTTCATTTAATGGTTTATTGATTACTTGATGGCTTTGGTGTAGTGAATGGTCATGGAGGAGGTCTTTATCAGTAGGAAAAGCTGTAAAACTTGTGGAAATACAGCTAAAAGCCTCAGATTTATTTCACATTTTCTTTGCGCGTTCTCTTTGTCGGGCTGATTCTGCCCCCTTAGCCTTATGCTTGACATCCCTTAAAGAAAAAGAAGACAGATTATCTTTACTGTTGAAGAAAACCTTCATTATCTTTACAAGGACACAATATATTTATTTCCTATTGGGCAAAGGTGTTGTTGCTCTTCCTTTTTTTTTTTGCTCA